GCAGTAGTCACACTCACAACATCGCTGTCGGGCCTTCTCCAGCTGCCAACAGCATGGAAAAACCAGGAGTCATTTGGAAGCTTTGTCATGAGGTGAGCGTGACCTCCAAAACAGTGCTGCTGGCTCCCAGCTCCCATGCTTTCCTTTTATTTATAATCGCCCTTGTTAGAGAAATGTCCCTTTTGAATATGTGCTGGGGAAGCAAAAGCTACAATGAGGGAGGAATAGTTATATAAATAAAATTAACTGCCTGGCGTGGCAGTGGCCTTAGTTTTGCTATTTATGTCTTTTGACTTACAGATTGAGCCTATCTCAGGCTGCAGGTACGGCACAGCTTCCTACAAAAAGCTGCAAACCAGACCAGAAGCAAGAGTAAAACTTTCCTGGATGCCTCTCCCACTGCTCTGGAACGGTTGCAAGACATGACCTTGACATGTACAGCAAAGAGATCAATCTTGCATCGTGGCCGGAAAGTTGACAAACACAGAAGCATCAGCTTTTCCCAGAAGGCGTATAAGGACACTCAAGCCCCGATTCTGCAGAGTACGTGACGGATCCTGATTACTAACGCACCTTGCATAATCATGACTGGGAAACCATCGTGTCACAAGCAGCAGAGCACAGTGAAGTGGAAATGGAGACAGAAAATAGGGAGTTGCCTTCATTTTCATCAGGATGGCGGTAGGAGCGATTCACAAAGTTGTAGGAAGGCTAGTCATGTTTAATGCATGTCTTAATGATCTGGAAAAAGAGGTGAGCAGTGAGGTGGCAAATTTGCAGATGGCCCCAAATTGTTGCAGTTACTCAGAATGAGGCTGGGAAGAGCATTTTCACAGCGAGGTCCCTGCCCAGGAACTTGGCCCTGAATTCAGGGCAGTGGGAGGGTCTCATCATTAGGAGATTGCTAACGGCGCTGATTCTGCATTGCCTAAGCTGCACAAGGCAGCTGGGCCAAACTGAAGTAGCTGGGCCTTTCTTTCAGCTGGGTCCTGAAATGAAGCACGCAGACAGCACATTCACGAGCCCCCGTCGGCTGGCGGGCACCCAACCCAGAGCACAGCGCAGACACCCTCGTGAGCCTCTTTAGAGAGGCCGCTGTAGAGCAGGCTGTTTCTCTTTCTAAAAATCAGTAACGCTCTCACCTGAGGCTGAACAGAAATACTTTGGTGCACCACCAGGAATAAAATCAGGGAGTTTTGCTAATCCAGAAAGGCATACTTTCCCCCAGGCCCGGTGTGCGGGAGGTGACTCGTGGCTGAGGAGGAGGTGGGCAGCAGTCAAAGCAGGCTGCGTCCCTCCAGCTGTGGCCCTCAGCTGTAGCAGCCGATTCTCCGCGGCACATC